CCGGGCCCAGGGCGCCCGGAGCGGCTCCTGGTCGCTCGGCGGGAGCACGTCCGGCCCGGTGCGAAGGAGCGGCGCGGCCTGCGAGGCAGCCGTGCCGGCCGGGAGTCGGCGGCCGAGCCGGGACTGGAGCCCGGGCCGCGGCCTGCCCCCCGGCTCGCCGCGGGCGCGAGGGAAAGCGCCAGCGGGCGCGCGGACGGGCTGGATCTCTCCCCGGCCGCTGTCCTTCCGCGAGCCCCTCTCCTCAGCCGGAGAGGGAGGTTAGGCTGAGCGCCAGCAGGGCCAACGGGGTCCAGCGAGCTTCGTGGCCAAGTGGAGGCTGGAGCTGAGCGCCCCCCAGTTCTCCGTCCATGCAAACGCTTTAACAAGGGTGCAAATAACAGAAAATTGTAAAGACCCTTCAGGGAACCTCGGTGGTATGCAGTAATTTGAATTGGCGGTCACTGTCCATAAAACCTTTGATTTTTCTGGAATTTCAGCTTCACTATTTCACTTTTATTCATTAAATTTATATTCTACTAATCAATTGCCCATCAAAAACAATAAGACAATGGTATACACGTCATACCTATTTCCTGTGTATTACTAATTTCAGAAGCATGATAGTCAATGGTTTGAAAGTTGGCATCATCGCCGGTTATAATTAGTTTGTTTCTAGCTTATAGTTGCAAGTCTATAGCCTTAGACTTAATTTCTACACCACCCACCAGCCAAAGCTTTCTAGACTAGGGACTTGTTTAGATTAGGGCTTGTGTTTAGAGGCAAAATGCCATTTGGTTTGGCTTCTGAAAACTAAAATTCTGTGATGATTCTGCATAGAAGATAGCTAAGGGAATGCAAGCTGAACTGTGGAAGAGCCAATATCATGACCTGGGAAGATTTTCAGTTCTTACGAAGACATTTTTCTACCACCATTTTCACCTTCATTTTACAGTGATCAGGGAAAACATGGCTACAGATTGGCTTGGAAGCATTGTCTCAATCAACTGTGGAGACAGCCTTGGCGTCTATCAGGGAAGGGTGTCTGCTGTGGATCAGGTCAGCCAGACAATCTCCTTAACACGGCCTTTTCATAACGGAGTCAAATGTTTGGTACCGGAAGTTACCTTCAGGTAAATGCTTTCTTTAGGCTTCAACAGTTGGCTTCTTGAACATTATACACCAATTCTAAACCTATGTCATGTGCTGGGTGCCTTGGCTGATACTCAGTGTGTATTAGCCACAATTTTATTTTTTCATCTCCTGGATTCTGCTTGATGCCAAATCAGCATGTAAGCACACAGTCTTTTTCTGTAGCACCCCCCCTCGCAAATTACTTCATTCACACTTTGGGAAGAAAATGAAGCTGTCTCTGGAAAGATCCTGATATCCAGGCTTTCAAATATGGACAGTTTAAAAGAAATTCGAGTAATGGTATTTATGTGGTCCCTGTTCATTATGTTTTTCTACTACCCATTGGCTGAACCTCTGTGGGTGGTTTCTAAGACCATGTTTAAGACAAAATCATATACTAATGCCTAATATAAAACCATATGTTTAACAGAATAAAATCAAAGTAATAACCAAGATAAAAACTAGCAGCAGTGCAGATCTAAAAACACACTAACGTAACCTTTAAAAATGAGGGTCTAACAAGCCAGTAAAAAAGTCTTCACCAGGCACAGAAAAGACCGCAAGCTGGGCGCTAGGTGAGCCCCTCTGGGGAGGACATTTCACAACAGGAGTGGTGCTGTGGAGAAATCCCCCCGCCTGTTCGCAGCCTGCTTCATCTTACGGGATGCAGCTACCCAGAGAAGGGTGTGGTGTTGCTGTTGTGACATGGCAGCAGCATGCCCTTTGTAGCAGCGTAGAGAGAGGATTCTGCAGGAGTCTCAACCAGCTGAAGCGTCTGAAAGTTCTTGAGAGGCTTCCCTGGGTAGAGCTCTTTGTAAGTAGCCCGGACTGTTTGTTACAGTGGCATCTGCTGTCCTGGCCAGATCAGTCGCCTCGAACCATAAGCCTGAGTTGATGCACCACCACGGCTGTTTCTCCTGGCTCCTCTCAACACCTGAATATCCAGGCTCAGTTCTGGTTCCAGGAGACGTCCAAAGCGTTGCGCTTGGGTCTTCACAAAGCGCACAGTGCAGCCAACACGGGTTGGCTCTTACTCCCTCTTCTGCCAAGCAGACGCATGTCTGGCTTGGATTACATCTTACCTCATTTGCATAGGTATTTGAGTACAAAAATAATTATTGTGAGGAATCCTGCTTTTGTCGGATCCTGTTTTAGTCATTTTCCAAACCTCTGTACAAGTAAGAAAGATTCTGCCTCTCCCTTGAGCTTTCTGACCGTCACAGGCTGCGTGGATGCAAAATTGGGAGGGGGGTTGAGAGGAGGAAGCCTTCCTACGGCTGTTGCTTATGCAAGCCTCTGCACAAATGAGGCAAGGCTGCCTCCCTTCTAAGCACACTACACTGGCCTGAGGATTTGGGGGAAAGGTGGAGTTTCCTCTAATTAGTGCAACAATTTGGAGAAGCGGGTAGAGGCTGTTGTTGTTGCCTTCTTTCTCTGTATAAGCACGAAGGAAAGAAATCCCTGACTCAGACTGTCGGCATGTGTCAGAGGGCTTGGAGTTGACAAAGGTAACAAGGTCAAATCAGATTTTAACTTGTCAGCCAAAATATTTGTCAGCCTCTTTGTGGGTGAACATTTTTTTAAAAATTAAATGCATTTCTGTCCCCTTTCCCCCCCTCTACACCTCATTAGCATGAGAAAGAGAATTCCTTTAGTTTCTGCCAGTCCATATGTAGTAAACGGGAGTGTCTTCCACTGATCTGCTCTGCTGGTTATTAAAACGAAAATGCTGATTCAGATCTTCGCAGCGGGAGCAGGTTTATGGAAGCGGTGAGAACAGACAGCTGGATGTGACAGTCACACGCTACCTGTTCCTTTGATTCCCATTCTGAGAGACTGACCACTGTCGGTTGGTTGTTTGTCTTGCTTAAAAGCAGGGTAGTATTCAAAGCAAACAAGCTGGCTGGAGTTCACTAAGTTTCATGAATTTATTTTTCACTGCGTTGTTTGCTTTTGAGGTAGCTGACACAAAGATACGCAGCACTGTTCTGGCTGAAAAGCCGTGCAGCTTCAAAATCCTGCTGCTTGTGTAAGGAAAGCAATTTGTATTTTCATATTAAATAAACATAATTTTAGATGTCTCTGTGTTCAGAGGCGGTGTGTCACTAAATACTGGCTGGAGGGGGCGGCAGCAAGGCCTTCATGCTCTTATCTGTGAGCTTTCTGGAAGCATTGGTTGACCGCTGTGGGATGTGGGAATTGGGATGTGGGCTACAGATGGGACTTGTGTCGGATTTGACACTGTCCTTCTCTTCACCCCGTTTCTTCCCCCTCCTACATGCTTGAGTGTACACCAAGGTGTACTGTGTCCTGTTAGGTGTCCTGTTTTGAGCATACTGCTTAAAAATAGCCTTGTCCCAGAGAAAGGAATGCGAGATCATTTTCCTGCCTGCACTGTCTGCAACATTTGCAATGTAACGAATACAACCTGTCACTGATCGGTTGGTGGTCTGTCTGTTCAGTGACAAACACTGAAAAAACGGTTCGTGGTGCATCTGTGCTGGTATTTCCTGAGTCCTGCAGCTTAGTATTTGGGGCCAGTTGTGGCCATGGCCTGCTCTGCAGCTAAAGTGTCGGTAGTTCCTGACGCTGGCACGAGTCGTACCAAAAGCTCTTTCTTTCCAGCTAAATTGCCTGCACGTGGCCTTACATTCCCATAGCGTCTGGCACTAAATCATGCAAATTCATGCCTTGTTTGGGCCTTTTCTTCGTGTAGGGCAGGTGATATTACTGAGCTGAAGATCCTGGAGATTCCTGGCTCTGGCAGTAATGGACCATGCGGAGACTTTCAGCACACCGACCTCGGCATCACCAGCATGGGGTGCCCGGGGGCTGCCAGCCAGAACGGCACTGGCAAATTGGTGAAGAAACCCAGTCTGTCAAGCAGCGCTCCACAGACTATTCCCAAGCGGACAGATGTGAAAAGCCAGGATGTCACCGTTTCTCCCCAGCAGCATCAGTGTTCCAAGAGTTACATGGATCGGCACATGGAAACCTTAGCTCAGTCCAAAGGCTTCCGCCGCAGGCACAACTCGTGTGAGTATATTGGCCGCACAATGTCCGTTCTTCTTGTCTCCGTTTGCCCGATGTTGCCGTAGTTTGGCTTACGCATTGCAACTGACCTTTTTGTCTCCGTGCCGCCCATGACCCTCTCCAGGAGCTCTTCGCTGAAGCAGCGGGCTATAAAAACGGTTATACCTTTAGACCTAAGATGTTGTGAAATTTAGATTTTTCAGCTGCATGCAGACTGGGTTCCTGCACCGGCTTCCACAGAGTCTGCATCAACCGGGTCGCATATGGGTAGCCTTGGATGCATTCAGTTAGCAAGCTGCAAGAATTAGGAGTTGCTCTCCTCCCTAGGACGGCATGAGTTGGATATGCTGGCAAACACCACTAGCAGCAGGGAAGGGATCTCTCGCCTCCTGGCATGCCTAGTCTGCCTTTACCCACTGGCTCCCCTGACAGCTTCCAGAGATGTCCACAACCAGGCCGACTTCGCCCATACATTTGCTGTGCCTCTTTCTGCCCTGGGAAGACTTTGACTGCAGCACTGGGTTAAGTCAGAGAAACCTTCCTCTTGGGGGGCAGTCCAGCTGTCCTGGCTTTCCCTCTGCCTTCAAGAGGCAAATGGGGTGAAGGGCTTGGTTCGTGTGTCCTTCCCTGCCACATCCTTGCTTCCAGAAGTCTAGCGAGGAGGAAGGGGGAGCGGGAGAAGCCATGGGACAGGACAGGAGAAGTCAGCACTGCAGCCGACAACTGGAGCAGCTGCTTGCTCAGCCCTGACCTGCTTCACAGGGGTGTGAAGAGCCGTGGGGCAGCATCACGAGAATAAACGCACGAGATCCACAGTGGGTCAAAGCAGCGCTTTGTCTGGTTCAGCGGCCGGACAGAGGCCTCCGTGAACTCCACAAGTGCGACGTGGGGGTGGCAGCATCCTGCCGCTCTGCTTCCAGGCCCCCGGCGCTGAGAGGCGTTGCCTGAGGTGCTGGAGGGAATGTCCACTGTCATCCTGACCAGCAGCCATCGATTGCCCTACGCTGCACGGGAGGCGCTGGCTTAAGCAGGCCCCATGAAACAGCCCAGTGCTTCCTCCTCTCCATCGTCACGGCGTCATCACAGGCCAGGCTACTTGCTGTTTTTGGAAAAGCGAGCCCTTACTGCGTGCGTAGTGAGCGTGTTGGGTGTGTGGGTAGCTTCGCTCTTCCGGCCGTGGTGAAATGCTCCGTATGAAGCGGGACCTTCTTTCTTTGCAGATGTCCCAAGAGCCGTCCAGGCAGGTTTGAGGAGGCTTTTGCGATGTCCTCAGCCTGGCTCTAAAGGTTCATTGGCACTTCCCTGTCCATTTTCAAAGTGCTCCTGCTTGCAGGCCTAAGTGGAAAATGCCAGGTACCCAGTGCTGATGTTTCCTGCTGTAGCACACGGCCCCACAACAGAGGCAACAACCTTGCCAGAGTGATGTGCTTAGCTGTGTTGTTGGCTTTTGGTACTTAGCAACCGTCTTTTTATGCTGTGGTTGGGCGTTATTTTTCCTTTATTTGAATCGCACTGTTAGTAAAACTCCTTAAGTATAGCCTGCCATCAGATAGTAACTATTGATACATGCCCAGTACCACCTCCGGCAGGTCAGTCAGACTAAATCTTGCTGCTTTCATTTCCCTTGGTTGCAAATTGTGTGCCAGTCTTTATAACTTGAATCGCTTTCTCGTCTTGCTCTTCAACTAATACCGTAAAGCTGTCTTTGCAGGGGTGGAAGTCTGAACACGTGAAAAGGGATGTGGCGGTGGGGGACCACAGCTCAGCGGTAAATCACTTGTCTTGCTCACATAATTTTGTTGGTTAGTTTTCTGTTCTGCCTTTGCATTAAAAAACCACCAAGTAGCCAGTAAAGTGCAGTAAAAGAATTGCTTCAGAAACATTTATGATGCTACAAAAAGCATCGACAGACCAGCTCATCCTTTGCCATCTCTGCCTGCCCTGTGTGAGCGCTGTTTCTCTGGTCTGGAGTGTCAGGCAGGAGGTGAGGTGGGCTATAAAGTACCAGCTGTGGAAAATCGAGGGGGCCGAGGAGCCCAAAGAGGTGCTGGAGCAGCATTGCTGGGTCTTCTTGTGGATGTGGTCCCTGGCAGTGAGTGGCAGCAGCTGACCTTTGGCTGCCCTGTGCCGTGCGTGCCAGCAGCGAGGGCAAAATTACATGGTTGTAAAGCCTTTGAAAAAGGAATCAGTAAGCAGACAATAGCACCGCAGGTTGTACAACAATGGCTTACGTGCAAGGCTGGCACTCGGGGCCTTTCGTGCGAGTGCTGGAAGCGCAGCCTGCACAGCGATTTTGCAGGAAGGTGGCCGGCATGCGAGAGCCTCCGTGCACCAGGCTTGTCGGTTTGAACAGACGGCAGAATCTGTCTGGGAGATGTGTTTACTTTTTCTGAGGGAGGGTCACCTCGTCTGCTGGCAGGCTGCCAGGCAGTTTCTCGCCACGCAAGGCCTTCCTCTGGGGCGAACTCTTCCGAGAATGGGCTGGTCTGCAGATGGGCAGAAGTGGCTCCCTGGCTCGTCCTCCCATTTACTGCCCCGACCGCCCGCGGGTGCGTGTGAGGCAACGTTAAGGGAGAGGGGAGCAGTCGAAGGGCTTGGCGGAGGCCTCGCCTCCTGGTCGCCACTCCGCTTTCTCAGTGGCGCAGGAGAGGCTTGCCTGTGCAGCAGGGCATGCTCAGGTGGCACCGCCCTTGGTGGTGGGCCCGCTGTTCTGTCCGTGGGCTCCACGCACGTGGCCGACCGCAGCACAGCCCTGTGGGAACATCTCATGGCACACAGAGGCCCTGAGCAATGCACGCAGGATCCAAAGGGTGTGAACTGTGTGCTCGGCCTTGACGGCCCGTTGCCAGTCCGGTGGAGGGAACAGTGTTGTTAGTGCAGCTGTTGCTTTTCCGGGCGTTAATTTCTGCGCGTTAATTTCTGCGCGTCAACACAGACGTTCTCCCAATGATCATAACTGATCTGTGTCAAAAATGCAAGCTCTCTCTGAACCTTGGCAGTTCTTTGGGGATGCAGGTCAGCTTTTCCTGGTGGCCAGGTAAACAAGGATGTCACTTCTGGTGGCGGCTGTTTTTATAGTGGAGCCAGCAGAGCCAGTCAGCAAGATTTTAGGCCCGGCCAGTCACCCGGGTGGATTAAACGGCTAACCTTCACAATCCCAGTGTGTTTAGCTTTGGTGGGACAGGAGCTTGGATCTCATTCAGGGTGTCTATTGGGCATCAATGGAGAACATTCGGAGTTTTGTTTTTCTTGCATCTGTGGCTCTTTTTTTGTTCCATCAGCATTCAGACTCCAGGAAGGTTGGTTATCGCAGCCTTCTGAAGTTCGCTTTCATGGATGCTTTTATGTCCTTGTTTGTTCTGAGCTGGCGGGGAGTGAGGGGAGGCAGATAGCTGTAAAAGTTGAAGGCAGCTTGTTTTCAGATGGCTCCGGAGATACTAAAACACTCAGTTTGGCATAGCCACAGGGTGTGCTAAGCTGACACATCAAGTAGACGCAACATCCTCTTTCTATCACAGGGTGTTTGCGCTTCTGAACTCACGCTGTTGGATGACTGGGGATGGGAACTTGAAAGTCAGAAAAACTGTTCAGGGCCTTGCAGTAAATTAGGAGTAATACAATCCCAACTCCTTTTATTATAGACTTGTAGCACCAGTGGTCAGGGGAGTCTCTGCCATGGTCAAATCGGCTCGCCTGTATCTGTTGCACCGAAGTAGCTTCCAACGAAGCTTGACAAAGCAAGCAGAAATGCAAAGCGATCAGCGATCCATTCTTAGGCGTGCGATAGTAGCCCTGAAGCACACGCACCTCTCAGTATCAAGACGATTCCATATGTGAGACCCTTCGACCATGGAGGGCATAGGAGCAGAGCGGGGACTTGGTAAAGGGAGACCAGTCCTCATCATTCGGTGCTGGCAAAACGATTGTCAGACCTCAGTGGTGAATGACAAACATTTCTCTGGTGTTGCAGCTACAAAGAACAGAAGGGAAGAATCTGCTTCCAGACGCCAGCGTAGCCTGATTGTAGGTGCCAACATGATGCTCGTAGATTGAGCCCATGTGTGGGGTGAAGCAGGTCATCACGAACACCATGCTAAGGCTACGTTACGCATTTGTTCCTTTGCCTGTCCCAAAGGTGGGGTATTTCTTGGTTCCTTTGCAGTCAGCTGCTGCTCAGGATGGGATCTCCCTGATCAGAATACCCCAAAAGCCAGAACTTTGCCAAAAAATGCAAGTTTTCAAAGCAGGAGTGTTCCAACCTGCTTTCAGAAAAAGGCACATTTTATTTAATGTACTCAGTGTCTTATTAGCTCTTCATATTTTCAGAATTGTAATGATGTACTCGAGGTGGTCTTTGGACATAGGAAGAGAACTGCTGGATTAATTCAAAGGCCTCTTTTAATCATGCATGTAGCCTTTATTTAAATTGCAAATTTTTATTCCTCAAAGCCATTCCTTTCTTTTCAGGACCTGCAAAGAGGCATATACCTCAAACCTTTGCAGTGAAGAAACTTAATCACATGTGGTTCAAAGGCAGGCAGTTAAAATAGTTAATGGATTTACAAACCCCAGTATTATGTCATGGGAATGGGGATATGGTGGTCATGTTTTTATTAACAATGCGATGTATGTACCCCTTTCCTCTAGAAGAAGCTCTCGAGATGGAGTCACTCATTAATTTTCCAGCAAAAATAGCTTTGTTAAGGACCTGTTGCATGGAGAGCTTTGCAGGCTGACCCGGGAGAGCACCATTCCGCAGATGGATGGCTCTCTCCTTGGCATCACTGGGTGCAGCATGGCATCTTAAACAGGAAATCTGTACTTCCTGCTTGGAGAAGGGAGGAGAGGGAGCTCTTGCGCGGTGGATCTTACAGGTTTGAGCCAAGAGGAAACATTAATAACAATAGGTGGCTTTGTTTAGGAACCACATTATTGTTGGGAATATTCGGTGACCGACAGGCTAACATAAGCTTTTTAATGGCTCTAGAACAGGCTTTTGAATAGGGAGCGCTTGAAGTCTCGAGCCAGGGGCACAAAGCGGGTGGCAGAATGGACACAGGGCCCTAAATACTTGAGAGGAAGGGCCATAACTTAGTGGCAGCGCCCGCGCTTGCCACGCAGAGCGTCCTGGTTTCGGTCCCTGACAGATATGTTGGCTAGCTGGGGAAGACCTTGTCTCTTCCCCTCGAAGAGCTTCTGCCTTCAGTTGATACCAGTATTGATGGCTTGGGGGTCTGGCAGTAAGACAGTGGGGGCAGTCCTCCGAAGGCCCAGCCCCTGAGATGTGCTCTTCTAGCCTGCTGCCCATAATCCCCAGCTAGCGTGGAGGACACCAGGCTGAGGAGAGTTGTTTTAAATCCTTTGCACAGGATGACGCATTTGCTGGGATCTCCCCATACTCCGTTCCCGGTGTTGGTGCAGGTAGAAGCCGCCTTCTTCCTAGTGGCTTTCCTCATATACAGCTTGTGTGAATGGCGCCGATAAGGGGAACGGGGTGGGTCAGCAGGCACATGGGCGGGCAGTTCCTTGAAATCCCGTGCAGTGATGCCCGCCAGCCTGGTGGGTGCTCTGGGGAAGATGGGAATCCTGTTCCAACACATCTGAAGAGCTCCAGACCGATGAAGGCCGGGCTTGCAAATGACCGGCCAAAGAAACCAGGCCGTGCCTCTGGAGCCCTGCAGTTGTGAAATCTTCCTCTTCTGCGGGCGGATCCCTAACCTGCTGTGTCCTTCGATTCAGGGTCCTCCAGCAGCCGCCATCCCAACCAAGTGACCCCGAAGAAGAGCGGTGTGAAGAACGGGCAGATGAAGAACAAAGACGACGAGTGTTTTGGGGATGACATTGAGGAGCTCCCTGACACGGATTTTGATTTCGAAGGGAACCTGGCCCTCTTCGACAAGGCGGCTGTGTTCGAGGAGATTGAAACATACGAGCGGAAGAGCGGCACTCGTTCGAGGGGGACTCCCAACGAGAGATCTGCCCGATACCGCCACGATGAGAACATCCTGGAGTCTGAGCCCATCGTGTACCGGCGGATTACCGTGCCACAGGCGAGCAAAGAATTCTGCACCGGTAGGCAGGCTTGGTACAGTTCGAAGCGGCAGTGTTAGTGCGATGCGGCGGTGCCCGTTCCGGGTTTGTCTGTGTGCCGCGTGACTCTCATTTCACGGAGCGCTTGAAAAGCACCTGCGTAGATAGGGAGGGAGGCATGCACGGACGTGGCTCGGTAGAAATACTTGGCATCGCTGCTGTGCTTTTTGAGTGTTTGGAGAGCTCTGCATGAGGATTCCTAGGGCAGGAGCAGACTGGAACCGAGTGGGAGCGGGCTTGTTCCAGGCCACACAGCGACTGTCATGGCTGAGGCGTGGCTAGCTTTCTGGCTCACCGTTTGTTTTCTGAGCCTCTGCACCACGTTGGTTCTCTCATTCCTGCAGGACTTCTACCTTTAATGGCTTCGCTTCCATTGTAACGTAGCCGACAGTTACCACGCAGTGTGCATGTAGTTACGTTGGACCGGTTTCAGTCCTCTGAAATGGAGAACCCCATTGCCAAAGGACAAACAAGCAGGCCTTTGGGACGCCTGTGAGGCCAGACAGGAGGAGGAGGGGGGCAACTGAGTCTCTGCTGCACTGTTCCTCGCTCACAAGGTTGCAGGAGCTCTCTCTGCCTCTGATTTGGCGGCTGCGAAATAGCGTCCAGGCCAGAGCTTATCTGTTGTTGTGATTTGAATGAGGGAATAGAACGATCCGCCTTCCTACCCGAGCGTAATTTAAGCCTGGCTGCAGTTCAGTTCACATTTGTGGCAGTGTTGTTATTTTTCAGGTTTACACGCTGCCTCTCTGATGGCCTTCCACTCTGAGTTTATTCAGCACGGTCTGGTTTTGATAAGCTGGTCTGACTGGTTGGCCCTTGCGTGAGTGAGGAGAAGGGAGGTCCTCTCAGGGCTGGCACGCTCCTGTCAGAGAGCAATTAGGGCAAAGTGTAATCAAGCTTTTGCCTTGCTGCTCTTGCGTGCAACGGAGCAGTGTAATCTCACACCTTATCTTCCCCTGTATTTCAAACAGTATAAAGCACTATTAAGAGCCGAGCACTATTCCCCTGAGAAAAGCACTATTAAGGGCCGAGAGTTGCACAAGGCACAAGCAGTGACACGAATCAGCAAAGATGAAATTCACACTTCAACAAGGACTATCCTGCAAGGATATTCCTATGCAGAAAGCATCCATGACCTTGTGTTTATTTCACTGGGTTTTGCTCAGAGAACTTCCCAGGGCTTTGAGTACCTCTGCCTTTAAAATGATACTGACAGTGCTAGCAGCAACCGCCGTAAGCCTCTGAACTGAGGGCTCTGAGGGAGCACACAGGCAGCAGAAGTTCCTTTGCTGACCTGATGGGAGGGAGGCGGGCTGGTGGGAAACAAAAGGGAGGACAGGAGCTCTCGATGAGGCGGCTGGAAAACTGAGATTGTGGCTGACGTTGGCTGGCTTGGAATTTTTCTTGGCGCCTTCTGCTTTCCCCCACCTTTCTGTCTTTGGTTCTCAAGTCCCTTGGGATAACCGATAACCTTGCTTAAGGTTTCATTGCACCGGGCACATAACACTTTGCAGCCAGAGCTGGTGCATACTTGACGCCCAGCTGTAGATACAGTTGGGCTGCTGGATTCTTGGAACTGTTTGTGCTCCCGCCAACACATTCCCTCAGTTCCGTTTCTGAACTTAGTTTTGGGATATTCCTAAGCATGTGATCTTTCAGTCCTGTGCTAGCTTGTAGTCTTCAAAGAATTCTGTCCTGCAAGATGTGGCGGTGCCACTTCACACGTGTGTGGGTCTAAACGGCTCCTGGTTAGCGTAGCTCAGAGACCGCTGCATGGTCAGAGGGAGTGCAGAACCCCGGTTGCTCTTGACGGCTGCTATTTTCTTGCTCCGCTCTCCAGCTTCTTCTTGGAGCCATCTGGCTTGTCCCCGTGGGGAGCAGACACTTGGGGCGTCTTCTGCACGGCTGAGGAGGATTCTGGCCTTGGGATGGAAGGGGTATTCCACATGGCACGGGTCATGGTACTCGGCAGGTGCTTAACAGGGATTTTAGCGGGGAAGAACTTAACTGGATCCTGGGCCAAAGCGAGCACTGGGAAAAGGATTCACTCTTGAGCCCGACACGTCGGCGCCCCTCAGGCTATTCCTGAGTGCCCTGGCTCAGGATCACAGCGCTACAGCTACACCTTGCGTGACTCCAGCAGGGGAAGCACAGGGCGAATGCTGCATGACTTGTTTGACCGACGCCGGGTTCTCCGTGACTTTGAACATCCAGGTGTGTGTGTGATTTTTTTCCCAAGCTAATCAACCGCTCTGGGGCTGGTTGCCAGCACGGTGTGGTGGTAGCATGAGTACTGCGTGCAATCAGACTGATTGAGGTGAGGCAATTACCTTAATTGACTGCTAACATGCAAGGCCACGTTATATAAACATTTCACCACACTTGTGTCTGTGGCAAACTTGTCCGAGGGGCTGTCTTAAAGGAAAACTTTGCGTCTTCCGTTGCCCCCCCATCCGTCAGAGGTTCCTTGCAGCTGCTCTTCGTTTCTGTAGAGCGACCTTCTTCAACCTGTTGACTCTGAGAGGGGTCAAGACCTGTTGTCCCTGACCGCGGACCATGTTTGCTGGGAACGGACATCCCGACAGAACAGCATCTGCAGGGCCACATGTTTTGTACTACTGCTGCAGAGAAAATAAAAATTCCTTTTCTCACAGTGCTGGTAAAACCTGACTTGACCATTGCGTAGCGTGGTGAACTAACCACTCCGGCGCAGAAGGAATTCTCCCCGATTCCAGTGAAACTTACACCCAGATAAGGGCAGGCGTGACGTGTAGCCACAGCCAGCCAGCGTACATAGATTCAGTTCAGACCAAATTAGCCCTACGGTTTACCAAGATCCTGTGTTACTGCTACTCTCAATATGCAGTCTCTGCTCAAAGGTAGCACAGACCCGAACTCTGAGTTAATTTTTTGGTTAACAGCCCAAAGTTAACCTAAACTAGCTGCTAGGTTAATTTGGGGTTGTTAAGCCCATGATTAACCCATCCTGCTTGGATTTACATGTCACAGAGTAACAGGCTGGGCCAGTCAGAGGCTGCATATTCAAACAGGGTAAAAAAATGACTTCCGTGTTAACAAGGGCTCAGGATACCTTCTGTTTTTGTCCTCCTTTATATCAGACCTGTGATCTTGTATAATAGGAAGGCATACAACCGCTTTTAATAAATAAATAAAACAAAGAGAGCACAAATGTCTGCTGAAACAACTGACTTAGAGAAAAGGGCTAAGCTACTAACGAAAGACTTGCCCTCTGCTTTGACACTGCGGAGACCGCGTCCCCACAGTGGAGCACTGACTTGGCACGCCGACTGTCCCCGTTAAGTCTCATCGAGCCATTCCATTAAAGCCATCGCCTTTTAAAAGGATCTCGGGTAGCAGAGCTGGGCCAGGCCTTGGTAGCCTGATCTGGGTATTTTCATATCTTGGCGGCTTTGTGGGTTTCAGAAGGGCCTGCAGCCTGGTCTCTTGCCACCCGGTGATTGTGGTCGAGAGAGATTCTCTACCTGAGTCCTTGAAGAGCCGCTGCCAGCTGGATCACACTGTACTAAGCTAGGTGGGTCAATACTGCAGCCTGGAATGAAACTTCTGCGCATAAACAGGGCTGGTGAACACTGAGTTCTGTGTGGTAATGTTGTCCCTCTTTTCTGTTAGTGGCTTAACTCTGCAGCTTTCACCGACGCATCTTAGTTCTGCCTCTTAGAACTGCAAGTGTGTTCTCACTGAAACTGTTGTTTATGAGTCCGAATGTGTAACTGAGATTTTTGAGACCATTCTGTTTGCCTCTGTGTTTCTCTATCTTTCCTACTAGTGGTAGCCTATTATGTCATATAATTTTAAGCTGTTGGCAAGCACAGAATCATGATGTAAAGTTGTCTCATGATTTTTTCTTGCTGGTGTATAGAAATGGGATTGCGGACAGTTAAATTAACTAGCTGTACGTCGAAGAGCCGCTGCACATCTCCTCTGGACAGTTTGGCAACAGATTTTGAATGGTTCGGTTTTTATGTAAAAACCTCTTACTTGCTCGAGTAATCTGAGGAACTATATTCCTTTGGCCGAGAGTCTTCCAACAGTTTTTCCCCCTCTTCTCCTTCTGCGTTTCAGATTCGGGGCTGGTTGTTCCAAGTGTTTCTTATGAGCTACATAAAAAGATTCTTTCAGTGGCTGAGAAGCATGGGCTGACCCTTGAGCGGAGACTAGAAATGACCGGGGTGTGTGCCAGCCAGATGGCCCTGAGTCTCCTTGGAGGGCCCAACAGGTAAAGACCCCTGGGAAGCAGCGATCCCTGTGTACACCGAGATGGATTGCAAAGCAGGAGGGAAAAGCCAACGTTTCACAGGGAGGGGTTCGTAGTACAGGAGCTAAAATATGCTTGGTTTTCAATATTGGATGGTCAACATAACCGTTTTCCTGGGCTTAGTCTCGTCTTGGGTTTTTGGGCCACATGCTTCCTTTTCGCTAGTCCATACTCTGCAGCCTTATCCCCCTTGGCTGGGAGGAAGCCCTTGTTGCTTAGGACCCTTTCCACATCTTAACTTTCAGGTTGAATCCTAAGAACATTCACCAGCGACCCACAGTTGCCTTGCTGTGTGGCCCTCACGTGAAGGGGGCCCAGGGGATCAGTTGTGGCCGGCATCTTTCCAATCACGACGTGCAGGTCATCCTCTTCCTTCCCAACTTCGTCAAAATGCTGGAATCAATCACCAATGAAATGATGCTTTTCAGCAAAACCCAAGGGCAGCCCGTGTCCAGCATCAAAGGTAAGGCTTGTGCAGGCATGAGGTAGATACTGACTTGTTCTCTCTGTTTTTCCAAACGCACGGCCCATCTCCTTGCCAGAGCCTCAAGGCAGCTAATGAGTCACCGTAAACACAGATGCCACAAACTCTCAAGCCAGACGCTAAAAGCAGCTGCTTGAAACTAGGATAAAACACAAAAAGCTGCGACCTTGAAAGTAGGTCTTAAAAAGAGAGTGGGGCTCTTCTGGAAGAAAGGGCGTGTCCCCCTGTGCTGACCGCGGTGTGAGGACAGTGACCGTCCTGAGACCTCAGACAATCATCTTTCCAGCCATGCCTGGAAATGCTGGGCTTTAAACCGTTTCTGCACGAAACATAAGAGCCACGCTGGAGCTGTCCACAGGTCCACGTAAACCAGCGTTATGTCCACTCAGGGGTCATTGGAAGGGTGCTGGTGCATGTAGCGGGGACTCCTTGGGGAGGGCAGTGTGCCTGAATCCTTCTGAGAGCGCCGCTGGGTGAAAGGCACCTCTGATTGCGCAGCAGCTTTTAATCTAGCAGCACCATCTATTGGCAAGAAGCTGGAGTAGCTTCGCACGCCTGGCCTGGGAAGCGGGGCAGTGGCCTCCTTCACAGGGTGCCCCAGCCTCAGACGCGGGCGACTTGGGCAATTCCTGGAGGAGTGGCCGTTCACCGAGACCAAGTTAACTCTGAGGGTGATGCGGAGCACTCCCATCCTGAGGCGGGTTTCCGAGTGGACTGGGGAGCAGAGGCAGGAGGGCTGGAGGGAGAGGCTTCCATAGTGGGGGAACCTTCCCAGGGGCCTCGAAGAGAAATGCTGGGTTAAAGGAACGACTGCTCTGATCAGGCCGGAGGGCACAGTCGGAGTGCTTTCGGGAAGCTTCAGGCGAAACCGCTTCTTTCCCCAGATCTTCCAGACACGCCGGTTGACTTGGTGATCAACTGCTTGGATTGCCACGAAAATGCCTTTCTGCGGGACCAGCCTTGGCACAAGGCTGCGGTGGACTGGGCCAACCGAAACAGGGCCCCTGTGCTCAGCATAGACCCCCCGGCGCACGACACGGAGCAAGGAATCGATGCCAAGTGGTCGCTGGCCCTGGGGCTGCCCCTGCCGCTGGGCGAGAGGGCCGGGCGGGTGTACCTGTGCGACATCGGCATCCCACAGAAGGTCTTCCAGGAGGTGGGAATCAACTACCACTCGCCTTTCGGTTGCAAGTTCGTCATTCCTCTGCATTCGACCTAAATTGGAGGTCCTCTTGGCCCTGGAAAGGAAGAGGGGGCGGGAGCGCCCCCAGCCGTGCGACAGGTCCTGCCTCTGATGAACTTCTTGACGCCTTAGGGATGCTATCGGCCCGTGCTGTGCATCTTCCTCCAGGAGAAGTAGCACCACACGGGGGAGCGAAGAAGATTCCCGTTCCTCTGAGCCTTTGCGCTCGTGCCGCCGCATGAAGGAGTGCGGGGTCACCGGTGTCTCCCACTGGCCGTGCGCCTTGACAGCGGGAGATCCGAGGCAGAGGCACCGCTTACGTCTGTGAGTGCCCCTGCCTATATGGATGCCTGGCAGACCATGTGACACTTCCGAACCGTTTCCCCCCAGGATTCGAAGGGGACGGGCTTCTAGGGCACTCCCCTGCCCCTTGTGACCATGTGGGAGCAGCACCTCTTCTGCTCTGCTCCCTTCTCGTGCAGCTATAACCCCGTCTTTCTCAGTGCACACCCCGAACCGCCTGGGACTTCGGATGGCCTGCCTTGGAATCGGGTGCCCGCCCTCTGCTTCTCCGAGTTCCCGAATCGGCACTTGCATTGCCGTCCCCCGGCTTCCCTTTCTGCATGCATGAGACCCGCGTGGAGCAAAACAAGGCTCGGGGAGAGAGCACAGGAGCAGGCGTGGTGGCACTGAGGCATTCGTACGTGCCCTGCTGCCTGGAAGAGTCTACATTTTTAAAATGTCCTTTCTGGGGCCCTATTTGTGTGCGTGGGGGGGAGAGAACGAACTGGGAAGCTCTGCAGTTCCCGCTGGGCATGAAAGCTGGATTTGCCCAAGTGCAGTACAGCGTTCTGTTCCCTTCTTGAGATGCCTGGAACTAGCGCAACGCTGTGCTTGAGCGAGGAAGCGGCATGGATGTGCTCACGCTTACGGTGAGGGTGTCTTCACTGCGCCTTTCCTTGAAGGCCCGCCCAGCGAACTGCCGTGAACGCTCGTTCCTGCATGCCGCGGCACCCGGTCCTCTTGCGCTTTCGGCAGGGACTCGTGTCCTGGCCACCAGTGCATTCTGCTCCTGCTCTTGCCGCCTTCCGCCTGAGCTCCTTTTTGTGGGAACAGACACTGCCCTGTGCTGCTTTCTGGAGACCACCAGCCTCTCCCTGTCGGTGGCTTGCTGTTCACTCGGAATGCTGCCAACAGGACATTTTCTAATGATTTTCGTAGCCGGGCACTGGCCAGACTTCAGGGGTGCGACACATCATGACATGGCAAACCGAGGACCTGCCAGCTTTGGGAAATCAAGCACGCTTGACCTTGTCTCTGCAGGTGCCAAATGGAACTCGCTCACTAGTCACAGTGATTAAAATGTGCAGTAAAGCAACTGGGCTCATGGGGCGTGTTTCATTTCCAGTCTGAAGAAACGACTCCGGTAGGCAAGCGCCGGCCTTGCTCTGAACAGCTGTGCGCTTGCTCCCGCAGGGTCGCCTTGAGGCTTCATTCGTGCAGGGGGGGCTCAGTCGGAGCCGCCGAAAGGTGGAGCTTGGCTCCAAAGAGCTGCCATGCATGCGCCCCGCACCCCCAGAGTGTGCTGAACAAGCTGGCAGCCCAGCACAAGCATTCAAGACGTCAGCAGGTCTTTCAGCTTCCACTTCTCTTTCAGCTTCAATGTGTCTGCATTTGGCAGACTGCTCGAAGACCCACTTTCCGGCAGGTCTCTTGCCCTCGACCCACAGCCACACCATCCAGAAGCCACAGGCATGGTTGGTCAATAGGCTTAGCATGCTGGAGTATTTTTTTAAACAAGGCAGGCATAAAGTGGAAGGGGATAAGAAAGGGAAAATGTTCTAGAAAGAAGGAAATGGATGTAAAAAGAGGAGAGAGGAAAAGAGAATCTGGCCGTCGGAGACAGGGTGAGTGTACAAGTTAAGTGTAAACGGAGGAGGAGTAAAGGATTCCATCTTGGGAGGAAACACAGTCAAAGTGCCTTGTCTGCTCAGGGTCTTTCAGGAGTTGAGGTGGATTACTTTTCCCTTTCTGAAGCGTGTTGTTTTTCTTCATTATAGAGAAAATTCCTATTTACTTTTAGTTTGTTCAGGCCTTCATTGTCAAAACTTGCTTGAACGTTAAGACCATTAGGATTAATATCGCTACTGAAATATCAGTATGCCTGTTACCATTCACGTAACGGGGGGACGGGCATTCCAATGTCACTCTTGTACATTACGTTTCCAAGCGTTTCTTTACAGCAACCTGGTGGGTCCAAGATCCCAGGCTTCTCCTCACGGATGCCAAAACTCAAGAGTGTCATAGTCTGGCAGAAGATAACTGTTCCTCTGTATTTAAAGTTTGGGCAATGGCTGCCACTCAAGGTAGGACATGTTTTGAATGCAGGCGTCTGGTTCAAACTCTGGCATTTTCCACTAGGGTGGGAGAGGCTGCCCGTTTCACACACTTGAATACAGCTGCCTGTCAGTTTACTTACTATTAAGCTCGAGAGACATCCAGTATAAGGTACCTTACCTGTTTGAGGGCTTGGTGCAAAACTCAAATGCACAACCTAGTGGATAAAGCCAAACTGAGGAAGTGGCTTAATCCAGCATCGCCAGCTGAAGGTAAGCCCTGCTCAGAGGCCTAAAGGCAGCTTGCACTGACCTTGGTTTTCCCTTCGTCTTCCGCCATGGCTGCTCTAAACTCTCCCTAGTGCTGTACTCTACCGTTTTAGAGATACTGGCAAATACGAAGATGACATGAGTAATGGAACGGGGATGAGTGTCCGTCATTCTGCACTAGCGAGGTTCCCAGTTGGGATGGGCCTTGGGCTGTGATGTAGAAACAGCTGGGCAAGGCGTGATTACAGAAAGAGCGCACTCTCTGTCGACCTTGGCTTTGATCGTGCGCTACCAACTACCCCTGGGCCCTGGGAAGGAGGAAAGCTCGACACATTGAACACTGTATGACCATCATCAGAAGTTGATGCAAGATTCAGACTGAGCCACTTTATTCTGAGCTTTGTCCACGTATAATTCTTGTTTTGCAAAACAGTTCAACAGCCTGAGGCATTCGTTAAATACAGCCTGGTGGAGATTTCTACTTTGAGGAAAACTATATAGGCATTTAAATTTCTCCTTAGTTACAGTGCAGCCTTATTTTGCAGTTCTCATGCAGTTTTCAACACATCTCAGACAGATTAAAAGTTTGGTTAAGGAAGGGATTTCCCATCCTCTCTTAATTGCACGGAGAGAGTAAACGACAGCCCTGTCCAAGCATCGACAGAATGCACAGTTATGTGCAGGCAAGGAAGGGCCGGGCACACCAGTCCCACTGCCCCTGGCTGAACAGGAAGATGTAGCGCCAGCTTCCGCCCCAACCCCCATGCAGGAAGCCGAAGCAGTTCTACACAACTGGGAACCCAACTTTATCAGTGTCCCTGATCGATCATGCGAAGGGTTTTTATTCATGTTCAGGTCAACACTGCTAACCGTACACAGCGGAACTTTTCGAGGAATATGGGGTTACAAAGAGGTAGCGGGTGGCTCATGTGAGGAAGTTGGTGACCAGCCCTGTTGTCTTACACGCCCGTGTACTTTAGGCATAATGCTTCACTGGCCCGATGTCAACATTTCTATGCCCGGGTTCGGCTATTTTACTAAGTCGTGCTTTCTGCTAATGCTGGCCCCATTTAGACATAACAGCAGCCAATCATGGGTTAATTCATAAACACATAAATCAGTGGTTTGTTTGGTACTTGTCACTGCCACTTAAATATGCAATCTACAACTGGCCCAAATGGTGGTAGTTGAAAATCCAAAGTTAATCTAGTGATTAACCCATATTGTCTGGTTCACACTTCAACTGAACTTTGGACTAGGGGTTGCATATTGAAATCCACGTGGCATACAATTCAGGCAAACCGTGAGTCGGTTAACCTACAATTCATTAACATTATGTGTGAACCAGATCCTTGTCTGGATGCTCAAGTTATGGCTCTAAACTGTCAGCCACTCCATTCAGAACTGTTTATGGTCTTCAGCATGAGCTAGACGCACTATTGTTTCACTATGGCTTGGGAGTACAAACGTTATGCTAAAACAATTTGCACAGCTCACAAAGACACACCTTCACATTTTAATTTCCACCCAACTGCCAAGGCATGGCTTGCCCATTCAGATGCAGCACCAAGCTACAGTCTCGCTTCACCTTAATTTGGCACAAGAGCTCAGCGAAACTTCTAGTGCTAACCTCAGCCGGCACAGTTGTTTCAACACCTAACACCTGGTCAACAGAAGCACATGCCTCTAACTATGGGAAGCCACTAAAGTTGGATCAGCCAAAAAGTAGGATGGAATAGCAGCCAAAATATGGACTCTACTGTCTTCCCACACTTGGTGGGTTTCTTACAAAGGAAAAACAGGACTGATAGCACAGCAAGGCAAGAAACTACTTTATCAACTCCCAAAGTAGATTTGTGGCAAGATATAAAACCACTGTTTTATTGTTCAACAGAAAAAAAAATCAGTAGGATAGGGAGCAAAAATAGGTGGACACAGTCATACAAGTAAATTATCAAACAATATGAAACACTTTATTTCAACTTTACAACATATAAATATATGAGACAAATATGTGCTTCTGGGTCGCTGCCTCTGCCCCTCCCGTGTCCAGGGTCCAATCTGACCTTGCACCAGCACCTCGGAACACTGCGCTACAGGAGGACTGCTGGCGGCTGCCCGACAGGAGACCAGGCCGATCTCTGGGTATGTACACAAACTGCAGGAAACTCTGCCCTCCCCACCTGTCATCTGCTCAGGTCCCGGCTTGAATCTCTGCAGCACAGCCGCCGTTCCTCTGGGGACAAGCCGGAAAAGAACGGGTGGATCAGCGCTTCGGCAAACGTTATCCGCTGGGCGGGATCAAACTCGAGCATCTGCCTCATAAGACTGAACAGCTGTATGTGCTCGGTGGAATCGTGCAGCATGTATGTCTGGGGGGGGGGGGGGGGGAACAGACATGAGAGGGGGAGAGAGAGAAGCAGATGAGAATTGTCCTGAAGTCTTAAAGGCGAGCAAGTTCCACGATGACAGTACCTGTGTTTCAGTGCAAATGCTTAGTAAGTACTCCTGAAATTTCTAGGAGAGGACTTGTGATGGACGGCAGGCAATACAGCAACAGACCTAAGAGAGGACCCGGCCCACACACAACTCCCCCTGGCCTTTTTACACGATGGGTAGGCATGACCCAAGCGCTGCTGCTCCGTGGCGGCTGAACGCAGCCCCCTCGGGTCACTAAGGGAGAAGCAACCCGATGGCAGCGACGGGAGCACAGGGCACGGAGCATTCCGGGGTTGTGAGAAATCAGTGGGAGAACCGCCTTTATCTCAACCCTTGGTAAACCAGATTATCCACCTGCAGAGCTCTGAAAAGCTCCAGCAGAACCACCTCCACTGCTCTTACCTGCAGCGGCTTACAGTTCTCTTGCACGTATCTCCCGTCAGAAGTGTTCTCATCCCACACCAGGCTTCCCTTGTGAAAATACTTTTGCTTCCTGGGTGAAGGGAGGAGGAGGAGGAGAATGGTCATCAAGGGCATGAGCACACAAGATCATGTACCCCCTCAAGAGCCAGCCAAAACCCAGTTACCCCTTTCCCAAACGATCCTGCAAGCCCATGGCACACACTGCCTCTGCTGCCATTTATGCAGCTTTACTGCTCCATGTGGATGCTCCTCACACGAGGCAGTGGATGTCTCCGGGGGGGCCCTTATTTACTCCCCCAGAAAAAGATTAAGCCATCAGTGAGAAAGAAACTTTCCTACCGTGTTTTGCGGACCATATGCTGTGGAATTGGACCGAGGATTTTCTCCATCATCACAAGATGCTCTCTATTTTCATGAGTCTGGAATAAAACCAAACAAAAATGAGGCAAGGCTCGACTGCTTCCCTTTTCATGGAAACCCCCACTAGCCCTTGCAGACGGGGCAAAAGACGCTTCGTGTCCAGGGCTCGAAGGAGAGCAGCAGCCCAGTGGGGCACAGGCACCCCAGTAACCAAGCAAACGTTTCCCAGTGCTGTGGGATGCCGTCCATTTTCTTTGGGACGGATGTACGTATTACAGTCTGGCCTCGCTTGAGCCGTCCTGCTCCCTTTCTTCTGCTTTCCGTTCTGTTAACCAGCCACCTGATAAACCAGGTGTGGATCACATGGCAAAGGCTAAGGCTGGAGTTCGCTGAACACACAGCAGGCAGCAAGGCACTGCGCACTGGCGCACAACCAATCAGCCAGTAAAGAAACATCCCACTGCCTGCCGGACTGAGTGGCGACCTCACCCTGGCCATGGCAGCCTACCCTACCGGCGCCCACCCCCCCCACCCCCAGCCCCGGCCCATTCATGGGCCAGGTCCAGCAAGTCTGCTCTGCCTTCCCCCACAGCTCCTGCCACCGTCCAGGCTGAAGGGTATGTGGGCTGCCTGTTTCAGTGCTCCAGAGAAAACCGGCTAGGCCAAGTGTGAACGGCAGCAGTGCAATTCCGGTACCTGAAAGAGCGTGAACCCGCGATAGTACTCAAAGAGGATGCAGCCGATGCTCCAGACATCGCACGGCTGTGCCCAGCCCAGCTCTGCAAGAGAGAACAGGGGATGAGTGCCAGCACGGCCCTTTGCGCCCACGTCCCCAACCCGAATGCCGCCCTGTGCTCTTCTCCTTCCGTTGGGATGCGGGGTTTTCCACTCAGCCCTCAAGGACGGTCCACCCGGCCCAGAGGAAGCCCATCCGCTCTTGCCCACTCCGCTTGCCTTCTGCTTAGAGGAGCTGCTCCGCCAGGTGCCACCGCACAGAAAAGGTAAAGTGGGTGAGCTGCAGCAGTCCTCCAGCTTACGTCAACGCTCGGCGGAGGCCCTCTGCTGCCCCTGGACACCATCGGCTAACACCTCAGGCATGTGCGCCCACTCAGAAAGGCCAGGCACACCAACTGCAGTCTCAACTGCTTTAAAACGCCAGTGCATCTTCTTATCCCTACTGGAGCCTCCCTGTCCAGTTGCCCCGGTTCTTCCCATTTTGGGTGCTTTCCCCCAAAGTCCTCCTGATCTGCAGAGGGTTCTTGCTGCTGCTGCCAATCAGCCAGCCGAGCCTCCTAACTCTTTCTTCGACGCGCTCGCTGGATTTTTAGGAGTCCGCAACAACTCACCCAAGATGACTTCTGGCGGGCGATAATGCCGAGTAGCCACAATGGTGGTGTGATGCTCGTGGTCAAACGTGGCACTCCCGAAGTCTGCCACCCGGATACACGTGTTCCGGATAGACTTCTCCTCACAGCTCTGCAACACAGAAGACGTGCCGGAGCTCCGTGCAGTTGCCTCCCGGAAGGCGGGGCGTGCAAGGGAGAACGCCTTGCGGGTGGGCGGCCAGCTCCTCCAGGACTGAACGAGGTGGTGGCGTGCTTCACGGAAGAGCCAGAACGCTGCCACGCGGCGTGGCAAGTGGCACAGATTTTAGCGGCTGGGAGGGTTAGCCTAGGAAAGGTCTCAGTCAGTCACCCGGAGCCCCCTCACCCAGATGACCCTGCCTCCAAGGTCTGGGCCATGTAACATGCCAAATCTGTAGCACACTGGCTTCGTAGTCCGTCCCTTAAAGGTACCCACCGACGCACATTTCTTACCATGTGCCCTAAAAAAAAAGGACAGTCTAGTCTAGAACTTTCACAATGTCAAATGAAACCCACCTTTTTCTCATTGTACAAAGTATCAAATTCTGAGTTGACAAACAAGATGTTCTCAGGTTTGAGGTCAGTGTGAGTCAGCTGATTCTCATGAAGAACTGCAGAAAAGCAGGCAGGAATGGAGAGACTTTAGCAGCTCTTATTTATTTATTTATTTATTTATTTATTTATTTATTTATTAATTAATTAAAACATTTCTATGTTTCGCCGAAGCCTCGGGGCGGCTCACAACATAAAATAAAATACTTCTTAGAGTCAAGCTACGTGCTTTGGCTCCACATCAAGGCCTATGGCCCAGGAATGAGCTCACTGGTGTACTATCTATTGAGAAGTCTGGATATAGAAGCAAAATTTTGCAGGCCTGTATGTTGCAGCAATTTGTGTAAATCTGTGCGTCTATGGTATCAGGCCACTGCTGAAGAACATATGAAATCTGAAAAAGAGTTCCTATTTCAATGGCTCAGAAAGAGACCTGCTTCCTGCAGTCTCATTGCCAATTCCACCAACTTGGCTGGCACAAGGACCCCCACTGCACGCTCCCACCAAAGGCCACCCCAACCCTCTTCCTGGCCACTGTAATAATTTTAAAAAGAACACTGCCTGGAGCACATCGGCAGAAAGGTGGCAGATAAACATAGTATCCAGATCGTATTTGGGTCTGGTTATGTTCAAGCTGGGATGCTGCACACCTGGAGATTCCGCAGGCGGACTGTCCAAGAGTCACGGCCAGATCTCCACAGTGCCGTCCCAGTGAGCTGCGCAGCCTTCCCACCCACATCCTCTGGCCCTCTCACTGGATCCGCCTCACTAGGCAGGCCATCGCAACATGGAGGATCCTTCGGGAAGCACTAAACCAGGCGATGTGCTGTCCGCGAGCCCAGCTCCTAGAAGCTCCACTGTCTGTCAGGTTCTACATCGACTGCTACACTACGAAGGCAAGTATGACGAAGGCGGAAGCAGAAGAAACCAGCACCAGTGAACACGCTCCCCACCCCAACGGTGCTGGGAAGAGCACACGTCTTTCTCCCAGAGCACGGCAGATGGAGTACTTACACCTCAAGGCATGACAAAGCTGGAAGGCCATATGCCGGATCTGTGAAAGGGGATACGGCTGGAAGTTATTCTCCTTCAAGAATTCGAAGGTGTTCTTGCCCAGCAGCTCAAACGCAATGCACATGTGGCCGTGGAAGTTGAACCAGTCCGACATCAGGACGCACAAGCTGGTCCCGAGGAAGAGACGGCGGGTTAGGAATGCGGCTCCCCAGTAAGCAGCACGGCCAAGCCCTGCTTCCTACGGAACGGACTGTGGGCCCCAAGCACCTGCCTGCCCCTGAGCTATACAAGGTTGCCCTTCAGCCGCCACTCCTCCTCTGAGCAGGACCAACAAGCCAAAGGCTAGCAAGCTGTCCCACTGGTGTTAGCAGTGGCAGGAAATTATCTTCTGAGACATACTGGGTGAGCAAGCTACTTTGAGGGAAGCCCCAAGCGACAGCAAAGTCAACCTTCGCATTAATTACAAAGTATACATTATGCATAAACAGATGAATTCCTCAAGATGGTCCTATACATAAGCATGAAGGGAAATCAAAGGCATTAATGGGACAAGACCACCTTGTTCCAGCTCCCAACTTCTCCTGAGCAGAGGGAGAAAGCGGTAATTTCCCTGCTCCCCAAAGAGCGGTTTCTTTTTATGTCTTCCCATATTGAGTAGCCTGAAAGGGTTTCTTCCTTTAAGAACATCGACAGCAAAATAGCCCCAATGGAAAAGACTTACTGTTTATTTTCCTTGTCTTTTTCTTTAATTTTCTTTAGGACATTAATTTCTAGCCTGGCGGCTTCACGGTATTTGCCCACATTTCGAATAATTTTCAAAGCTACCAGAGATTTGCCTCTACAGAAAGGAGTGGGCGGAAAAAGAAATAGAAACATGAGTAATGACAACAGCAGAGTTCTCTAGCAAGGAAAGGGCTGAAATTAAATTCAAGTCTAACTCCTGGCTACACAATAAGGTCCTGAAGTAAGAGAGACCAGCTCCTCTTTCAACTCGTGACCTCATGAAAATGCAAACCGAGACTTGAACGGGGGAAAGAAGCTAAGCCTACATCAGCATCACTTCATAGAGGCTTTCGTACCAAAGCCAGCATGGCACAGTGGTTAAGAGCGTGGGACTGCGACTCAGGCAATCTGGGTTTGTTTGTTATTTATTTATTTAAACAACATTCATTCATTCATTCATTCATTCAAACAACTTATATGTCGCCCCATCGCATGAGCCTCGGGGTGGCTTACAATCATTAAAATCCCATATAAAATATCATATAAAATACAAAAAATTCATCAAATAAATTAAATACAAAAAATTCATCAAATCAAATCAAATTAGTGGATCCAGCCTGGTCAATTTAAACCAACAAATAAACCATTAACAGTTAAAATAGCATTTAAATAAAAAGGTTCTAGTCCCTGCCCAGCCATGGAGCCAATTTGGGCCACTCAGACTATCGGGCCGATGTGCCTTACAGGGGTGCTGTTGTGTGGATAACTCTAGCGGCTGGAGGAGGAGAATGATGTAAGCTGGTCTGAGTTTGTAAGAAAAAAGTGAGATAGAAATCAAATAAACAAACAGTACAGGTCCTGGATGTGGCCACTATTCGGAAGGCGCTGGGTCCCTCCTTCCGCAAGTGCCAGACCGCATGGCTAACGGTCAGGGGTTCTGGGAGCTGTGGTCCAAAGCTTCTGGAGGCACTGGTTGCCTGCCCGGGACCGACAGATGCCTCTAGCCCAGTCAGACCGAGCGAGTGCTTCTGGGCCAGGGAGGTGCTTCATGCCTACCTAGGCATTCTCTCTCCACAGAAGGGGAAGCACTCATGCGTGGAACAAGAGTGAAGTGCGGTCCTTTTTTTCCTCACAGCCATTTCAGGCCACTGACTTTTGGGTCCTATTTTAGGAGGTTATTTTATTCCGTTTCCATCTTGTTTTGCTCCGCTTCATTAATATTCAGCACAAATTGCTATGCTGTTGTAGCTAAGTGTCATTACCCCACATGTTCATTCTGACAGCAATCAGCAACATGGAAACTCTTCAGGGATGAGTATGTATAAAAACCAACCGGGCTGCTCTCCCTCTAGCACTACTGCACTTCTCCCGAGTTCTGAATTGAGAAGTAGCCAATGACCTGCTGCTGTTCCTAAAACACACTTTAAATTCGTGGCACTCAGGGCCATTAGTTCTCCTTCCGCGGAACACTTCATCGAGCAAGCCTCTGCCGAGCGGCAAGATCGCGGACGGCTCACCTGGCGTGGTCCATGCACTCCACGACTTTGCCAAATGTGCCTTCGCCGAGGCTCCCGACAATTTCGTCTAGGAGAGAAAACAAAGGGCGACGTGAGCACTGGCTACGTCGAGGCGTGAGGTCCTGCAGTGTCACAGCAGTCAAGTCTCAAGAAAGGCTCTCACTGCTACGCTCTTAACACACGATGGTCTACTTTCTGCTTCAGGCAATTACTGTTCAGTCCACTGATAAGCAATAAACGCTAGAGACCCCTCCCGTACACTGCGAGCGATCTCGTCTAACATGGGGATAGAAAGTAGAGAGGTAAAGTTTTACGAAAGGTGGCTGTACATCGCTCTTGGAGCCAATCGCCGATCCTGCACACCAGGTGGCCTTCTTTGTCATCTTCCACGCTCCTGCTGCGCTTACTGCTCTGTTGGCTTCTCTGTACACACCGCCCCCCGAAACGCCATCCGACCAATCGCACACAGCGGGCAATTCCGATTGGCAGATTGAGTTGTCATTCAAAGGCGGAGAGACGACGATGCGTCGGTGGTTGGTTTTTCCAGATCCCAGCATTTCATAAGGCACACAGCATATATAACGATAGGGATATTGCAAGGGACACGTCAAGACACAAACCGACTTCAAAACAAAAGTTAAAAAACAGCTACAGGTATGTAAAGAAACTGATTGGCTATGGAAGGCAGGAGCCTCGCGGTAGTGGTGCCACGGCGTTCTTGAGCGGGGTGTGGCCGCCGGGACGTGCCCCGTGGCCTGGCAACCTCCCAAAGGCATCTACTGCCCCTTCGCAACCGCGAGGGGAAGAGACGGCAAGCAGCGCAGGAGGGAGGCAATGGCAGCGGCCTCTCTATCCGCAGTTGAGACGAGGGGCCACCCCCAGACAAGCCCGTTGACTCAGCAGAAGCCGAACTTCCCACTCCCCCGGCAAGCCCATCTCCCTGCCTGTCCATGTTTGCGGGGGCGCTCCAGTTCCAGCCCGATCAGATTCAGGTCTCTCTCCATGCCTGAAGCAACCACGGCCCATCTGAGTTTTCTCATGCGCCTAACAAGTCTGTCCCGATCACCTCTGTGGTCCCTGTGCCACTTCTGCGTGCTTTCCGTTCTGAGTTGAAAAGCAACCTTAGAGGTATTCTAAAAGCAGCAGCCAAGTCCAACATTGGAATTAAAAGTAAATGCTACTGACCAGCACTGCTGGAAGGACTAGAGCCAACTGGGTTAGAGACATCAGACCACCCCCCACTTCCCCCCCACCCCCCCAGTCCTCAGGAAAGCTTCTGTATTTCTTGGAGTTGGGGTCAATCTTGCATTTCTACTAGTTTCTACTGAAGAAGGAAAAACAGCCACGCAATCCCGAAGAGTTCCACTGTCAACAAGTTTTCTCCCAATCAACTCTTTCAATATGCAAAGAGTTTCTGTTTCTCTGGGCTGAGCTGTAAGAACAGGTTACAGATTTTCTGATCCCCTCCCCTTCTGCTGCAGAACAAACCATATAAAAATCCTAAGAAAGAGTATCTGAAATGGAGAGAAGCTGAAGCGATCTTAAGATCCTTAGAAGAAGGTTCACAGTATGCAAGTAAGTCACACCAACCAAACTCCATACCCTTAGCACCATACAGGAAAACTCCAAGATGGGAATCAGGGGTTGGAGGGTATTAAAAGCCTAACCCAGCTTTTAAGACATGAGCCAGTGTGGCTCGAAAACACAGGAACCGAAATAGTGCGTTCCGGACCACCCACAGAACGCTTATCACGTTTAGATACACCAAAGCACACACCAGTTACAGCATTTCCATTTCTGGTAAATGGGAGCTATAGAATAATATATGAACCAGTAAAACAAAGCTCAAATGTTTTGAAATGTTTTGAAAAAGAAATCATTTTTCTTCCTTTGTGGGCTGGGGTCAGGGAAAGGAAGGGGTTTAAAAGCTGTTTGTGAATAATAAATATATTTAAAAGAAGGTTTATGTGTTGCTCTCTAGCGAGCGCCAAAACAGAACTGAAGCCAGGAAGCGCGTATTGGCCGTCTGCCTGCGTAACTTGCGACCCAGCGGGCCACACCCCCCGCCGGCCATGCATTATGGTGCGCCGGGTGCTCGAGACCCCCTCCTTCACTGAGGTGTGCTGAGCCCCGGGAGGCCACCATACGTGACATGGGGACGGCAAGGGTGACGAGCCCGGCAGGCTGGCACCACGGTGTTGGTAGCCCTGGTACTGCTGAGAAACTGGTCGGACACGATCGACCAGATTCAGCCACAGGAAGGCGAGGGTGCTGGAAGAGAAGCCCTGTTTCAGCCACTGAGGACTGCTTGGTGTCACTGAACACAACTGCCAGGCATTACAGCGTACAGAGTTGAGCGGATCGTCATTACGTGGGAAGCAAAGGATGTGGCAGAGTCATCCGGAACCAGGCGCAGAAAGTCCTCCCCACATCAGCACTGGCAGGTGCCAGGTTCACCTGCCCCCCACCCACTTCATCTTCGAACGCTCATCTGCGTCTCAGCCACTATGACTACCTGCCGTTAGCATTAAGACTAGGAGCAGCTAACATAACCAGTGTCACAACTGTATTGAGGAGAGAAAGAGAGGGATTAGAAGTACTCACCAGTGTTCTTCAAAGCTGGAAAAAAACTAGAATGCAGCTAGACCCTGACCAATCCGGAACTCATTCTGGATGCTACTCACCGAGGAGGTACTGCTACAAGACCTGGTCCTGCGTTTCCGGCAGCGGTGCTGGTGCTTCCTTGTCCGGTGACGCTCTCTGTCTCTCCGCTGATGGCGTGAGCGACGGGCAGCGTAATAGTCCTCTCCAAATGATGGGCTCTGTTCTTCAAACCTGTAGACTTCGCTGTCTGTTCTGTCTCGGTACCCTCTCTGGTATGGCATTCTGTCCTGGCTGCATTGCAAGGAAAAGCCAAATTGCCAAGTAAGAGCGGGTGGGAGCAGGCCACGCGTGACGGGCGGATGCACGGCCAATCGAGCCAGACGGCTTCTGGCGTCTTACTGCGGGGCAGGACAAGTCTGGGACAGCAGTCAGAGCAGCGGCCCACGCTCTCAAGACTCGCACACCAGGTAGCTCAGGCAGCACTTGAAGACACCGACCGTACCTGCACACTAAGCACAGCTATCCACACCCACTGACCATACACATACACCACTCCAAGAGCTTTTACTTGCTAATGAATGGTATAAAAAGATGAAATAGATAGATAAATAGCAAAGGAACCCATGCACCCAATTCATGGGTCCTGTAACACCATTAACCAGGGAAAATATTACCTTTGTAGCTGAGCTGGAGCCTCAGTGAAGCCAATTTTATTTATTTTAACATGCTACATGAAACTTATAAAACAATGATCTTTTTCTCCTATCTGCTATAGCAAGAAGTGGAAAGCAAAGTCATTTCTTCCTTAGATTTATATCCCACCTTTTTCTTACAAAGAACTCAGAGCTGCTTGCCTCATTCTCCTGCTGTTCTCACTCTTTATCCCCACAGCAACGACCCTGTGAGGTAGGCTGGGCTGAGAGTCTGTGACTGGCCCAAAGCCACCCAGCAGGCTCCCTGGCTGAGCGGGGACTCGAACCCAGTCCCAGTCCTGCACTCTTGACCACTACACCATGGCAGCCCTTCCCACATTACTCTTGTGTCCTCCCACCCTCACCTGCCAGTTCTACGGCCTGAGCCATGAGCACCCAGCTTCTTGCTGGTGCACCCACCTTATTCTGAGAGCATCACCAGAGGTTCTTCTCCAAGTGCTCCCACCTTATGGAAGCTGTGACACCTCACCTCTGGAATGTTCTCCCTTTTTTGATACTGTAAGTCACCGTGAGAGTGAAGGATCGTGTATAATTTGAGTCAACGTCACAACACCTGGCTAGGGCTGGAGCGGATGAGGTGGCTTGCTGGCACCCAACTGAAGAGCAGTAAACAGCAGCTCTGGACAAGCATTTCCTGCCTCTGCCCTGCAGCTTTATACAGACTGCGAGGTGTAACAGACAGAACATCTGGGATAAAAGAGCTCAGCAGCAAGTGCACACACACCCTCCTCCACAAGGATCTTGGACGGAGGCTGCAGAAAGATTTTCCACCCCTGAAGAAAGCATGACTTCCACTCTCCTGTAAGAGATTTTAGAAGCTTCTATGCTTCTTGTGTGAAACGTGCCAGTGCCCCGGTAGCAACAGTGAAACTTAATGCTATCACTGCAGTAGCATTTTTTTCTGAAAAAAGAATAAAGTGTTTAAATATTTATGTTTGGTTTATTTCTTATGAAGCAGTATAGAGTGACTCTGAGGGAATAAGCTTTGTGGTCGAGCAGGGATTCAATGTTGATGTCCGACAGCTAATATTCTACCAAAATGAGCAAGGTTTTTTCCAATTTGGCCTTTATTTTAGTATATGAAAGGCAGTTTTAAGCTGTGCCTTTTTAATATGAAACGAGAAAAATATTATTTACAATGCCCTTGTTGAAACAGTTTTCAAGAGATACCCAACTGCACTTCGGCAATCTTTCCCTCAGAGCCTGCTAGTTCATGATCCAATAGCGAACTCCCATAATGAGAAACAGACTGAAAGCAGCTACTGCACACAAGCTGTGGGAAGAGAAACCAGCCCTCGGTGGGTTGGCTTTTGACTCCCTTCTTCAATTTCAAGCATTCCAACTCCAAACCTCCCCACCGCCCTCCACAGAACAGCCCAATGAAATCTTATGTAAATGCAGTGCTTCCAAGCTGACAGCTTATAAAGCCAAGACGAATGTGTCTCACTCCTCTGCCCATGGTTTATTTCAGGAAGGAGGACACTGTCGACACGTAGCTGAGACCACAGAGCAACACATTCGCAAGTGAGAGATGCACACGGCACTTGCACGTTCCCCATCTGCTTCAAGGGACACGTTGCAGAGCTGTGTATGAATGAATGCGAAAGTAAAGCAGCCATGTTGCGTCACAGCAAAGGCACCTGGCACTTCCTTATGCCCGAAAGCGGCCAGGCACTGATGCCACCAGAAAACCCACAAGCTTTGCATATGCAGACAATAGCTCTCTCATGCAGGCACTTGTACTCTGATTCTGTAAAAATTTATTGTGCAAAACAAACAAACCTTAGAGAAGAAAAAATGAACAAAACTGAAACATCAGAATTATTGAATAAGATGTAAAATGATCCCTAGCCCTAACTACAGATTTTTTAAAATATCTCTGTAGGTTAGTACCGAATACAAGATGGAGGAAGCCACAGCCACAAAATTAACAAGAGCTGGGCAGGACTGTCATGGATGGGCTATGGGTGCTACAGAAATGAAATTAATAATAACAGGACGTGTTGGAGGGCTTGCATACATGCAGCAGCCAGAAATGGCCTGACAGCAATATAACAATATATTACTATATATCAGAACATAGTATTGTTATTAAAATAATTATGCACAGACTCCAACAGAGACTCTCTAAATATCCATATATTTATCTCTCTGTAGATTACAGAAAGGTCACCCATTCAACACCTGAAAGCTGCATTAAATCCTCCACCCACTGTGTTCCTGCAGGCGGCCATTTGTCATTCCAGTCTTGTAATATTAGCCCTTAGCTGTCAAGAGAGCATGGAGAACCCATGTATGTTGGCCTTACATTAAATTCCAAGGTGGGTAGGCAATTCAAAAGAGCATGTGTAACCTTGAAACTGGAAGCGCTTTCCATCACAAGAAAGCTGATATTCTGTGGTGCACAGCACCTGAAAACAGAGCTGCTTGCTTCCTGCAGACCCAACGAGGTGCGCTTCTGTGAATCATGCAAACAGGGCATGAAAACCACAGCTCCTCCACCATCCATTCTCAGCAGCACAGTGCGTCAGAACCTGGAGTTGTCCCTTCAGCTGCCACAGGCAACAGCTCCTGACAAATCTATCCTTGTGGGGAAGGTGCCCAGGTCTTTTCTAGCCCAGTGTGCTTCTGGCTACAACTCTGAAGAGCAAGCTGGATCCAATGCAGGTAGGCCCTCCCCCCACAGCTCACCTTCTGGAACGTGATCTCCTTGAAAGATCCCGGCGAACTGGATACCGCGCTCTCCCCTCATAGTGCTCCCTGCTGCGAGACCGCCTCCTTTTCCATCTGTAACTCATGTAGGGGTCCTGCTCAGGAGAGCGGTAGCGTTTGCAGTGGTGCATCTAGACACAAAGGAGGTATCTGCATGAACACCAGAATGGGCTTTCTGGTCAAACAAGTTCATCCCGGCAATCCTGGCACACAACATTCTGGCACCTTTTACAACCCAAATAGATCTTGCTAGAGTTTACGCATTTTATTTTTTTAAATACCTTCAGAGAGTCAGATTAGTGCATCATGAAATCCAGGAATATTGACATGAATAGCACTTAAAGGCTCTTTATGACACGAGCAACAGAACCACGAAGAATCATCATGTTAAAGGAATACTACCCCTTCCTTGGAAGTGCTATAGCCCAAGCATAACAGGCAAAGATGAAAGAAACACTCTTGATCTGATGGTCATCTGACAAACCATGTAAAGACGCTGCTGAACTGGAATTCATTTCTTGCCAGCAATCCCATTTTAGAACTTATGTTATGCAAAGAGCTTTCAGGTCTGCTGTCCGGATCAGTTTCATTATTGCCTCTTTGCCAAAACACAGGGATGGTAAGAAATTTAACGGTACAAAACAGAGCATGTGTTGGTTGGAATTACTCCAGAACGGCTGGGGAACAGCTATAAGCTTACGTATGTTTAATTACGAATAAACCCCATTGACCATAATGGAGTTTACTTCTAAGAAAACACACACGGGATCAGGCTGCATCTGTGGGGGCAAAAGCCCAGAGGAGGAAGTCTCTTGGCTGATGGGCCTGCTGCTTTGACGCTGCAACACTAAGCCAGCGGGTGCCCTTTACTTCATCGGCACATACGGAAGGCCAGGTCACAAACATCCAGCAGCTTTCCCCGGGCTGGTGCTCTGCAGATGTTTCAGACACCAACTGCCATTAGCCACAGTCAGTATGGCTTGTGTTCAGAAGTCCAGGGTGCTTTAGTCCAAAATATCTGGAGGGCAGCAAGTTAGGGAAGAGAGGCCTACAGAAATCTACTGCTGAAGAGCCGGTGCAAGAGCTCTATACAAGTTTTGTACAGTAACTTGGTTCACTCTTTAGTTGGGAAGCAGTACATGCCAACAATAACAGTTTGCATTAGGTCAGGCATACACAGCACAGTGCACAGCCAAAAGGAAGCTGGCTACTGCTCCGGGGCATGGAAAGCTTCCAGCGATGCCGTGCCGCGGCCAAACATGGACTTTTCAATCAATTTCTGCCACCACTTCCCAATTTTTCTCTTGTTTGGGGGGGGGGGGGGGAGACAGCAAGCATCAGACTAGGGCAAGGGCAACAGCCAGCAGAAACTTACCACTGCAAGGCAGCCTTTGAGTCACCCCAATTCTCTGCATGTGGGTGTAAAACATCGGCCAGGCATGCAAGGGAAAGTTCCTCTTTAGGCCTTCAAAAGTCCCAGTGAACTCCAGATTCTAAACTATTAAGTTTTATTAAGCCCACAATGATAAGTGGGGGGGGGGAGCCAGGAGGCATAAAAGAGACTCTTTAGATATTATACGCTAAATAATAGCACACCAGGACCTTAAAGTTACTTGCAGGAAGCAAGGATGTTCAGAAAATGACCTTTTTATAGGGGAAATTCCTACTTTGAACTCTGGGGAACCAAGAGAGGCAGCTGATTGGGGAACTGGATCCTTGAAATGAACATTACCATGTGGGACAAGTGACCCCTCTAGGGACAGAGATTTGACACCAGGGATACGGCAGGGCCAAGTACCTGAGGAGATCGGCCACTGACACCTTCCAGTAACCTAACAGGGTGGAAGAAAAAGGCGTAAACTGAGAGACATTTCTAATCAATTCCTGGCAGGCAGATCTGCTAGCTGGCCTGCATGGAGAATGTTTGAAAATGACAGGTAGATCAGAAGTGCTCTATGAAGAAAAAGCACAAGCGTTGTGTGCAAACTTGTCATTGCTGAACAAGTGAGGAAAGAGCTAAACAAACGGTGGCTTTGGATTCTGGCTCACTGGAAGAGTGACAAATCAGGAGCCCTATTTCAGATGCAAGACTAAGCTCTTCTTGGTATGTCATTGCATTCATGCTGCCCAACAGCCACAGCCCTCTCTGCCTACAGCCACAGCCACTACGGGGGAATGATCAGGCAGCACGCATCAGCGCGCTTCTCCGGAATGATAAGCCAGGATTCTTTGGGAAACTGGTGCAACGTTTTGTGCATACAAGGCCTCTTCCCAGCCTTTCTCCTCAGGGAGTTCTCTGCAAATGCAGGTTGATGCTAATACCAGAAATGGAGACTAGAAAAGGAGGTGGGGTCTGAGTGGGGTGATCTGCCTTTTCCAGCTTCTGAAAGCACTTGGGTCGGCAACTGCAGCTGCAATTTTTGACCAAGCCTCTTGATCTAAAATAAAATGGAATGAAATGTATTTATCTGAACTACTGCTGAGATTGAAATTATCTACTGGCAGGGCTATAAAACAGGAAGCTACTTGTTTAGCAAATAAAGTGTTCCTGACAATTCAAGGAGATCATTTATAATAAAACACCAACAGAAAAGTAGTTGTTTGCAAGGCTGCTATTTCTCTGCATTCAATAATTGCTTTGCTACGCAGAGAAGATGCATTATAGGTAAATGTGTTTGGTAACTGTCTATAGGTGATAAAATCTTTACAGTGCTAAGAACCAGGCAGAAGCAAGTGTAAATTGTAGTTCTGTCTGGATACAGATTGTATCCATTGGAAATAAGACAACTGTATTCACTGGAAATATACCAATTGTATCATTGGAAAATAGAACAATTCCATCTCTTTTACAAAAGTGCTATTCTAAGACAGTATTTGGATCACTTGGGCAGTCTTGGACTTTGCACACAAACTGATATCATAAAATCTCAAGGGAGTTACCAGGACAGAACAGCTTAAAAGAATATTAAATAGATATCTTAATTGGAACATATGGCAGAAAATCAATTCCTTGCCCAACAGCAAAAATTTTAATCACAAAAGGCAATGCTTTACAGATGCCGCTGCTAACAATCAATGTAACTTAGAAATCAAATGCCTAAATACATAAAGCAGAATTTCCAGTGCATGACATTTCTTGTTTCATTAATAATTCTGAACTGCTCTTTCTTCTCCTTGTCTCCTTCTCCCTTACTATTTTTGATCATCAAAGCTAACCTTCAGTAATGCTTGCCCATCCAAGCTGCATCTTGCTATAATACAGTCCTCTGCTATAATTCAGTCATGGCCATAATTATGGGTGCAATCCTATGCATTTTATACAGAAAAAGCCTGGCTGGGGAACGCTGAGAGTTGTAGGGCTTTTTCCCAGTCTAAATATACATAGGATTGGGACCTATATGGCTTTTATCAATATGGTTAAGAAAAGGAATGTGACTGGTTGCTGAAGGAACAAATGTACTGTGCCTTTCTCTGCTGTCCCATATTTCTTCTGTGAAATTCAGTTCTACTGCCATTGCCTATGGTTTAAACCATAAAGGCTTTGAGAATCCCTTTCCCCAAAAAGATCCAAATGAAGTTAAGAGTTGCAACTGATTTTAAATGAGGCCAACTGATGGACGGAGTATGATCTGAGTGCCCATAGAGTTTATGTCCTGAAAACCAAGACCTGCCCAAGCTATTCTGTCATAGCCAATGTGAAGAGCACCCACTTGTAGAAGGTTCTGCTTGGCATGTAGAAGGTTCCGGGCGCAATCCTCAGCATCTCCAGACAGGGTTGGAAAACTCCTGACTGAAGCCCTGAGGAGCCACTGCCAGTCAGTGCTGACAATGCTAAGCTTGGTGGACCAAAGATCATACTCAGGATAACGCAGCTCCTCATGCACCGTGATTAAAAAAATTCCCTAAGTCCTACTTCCACGTAGGATGCAGGAGAGTTACTACCATATCTGAACATAGCCTGGAGTGGTAAAATATGCCAAAATACCAACTATACCAGTTTGGTTGGTTTTGTTCCTTGAAGGTTAAAATCTGTCCTGTTCATCTACTAGGGGACCTGAAAAGAACACAGTGGATTAAAGGTAACATGACCGAGCAGTACTCACCCTGCCTTCAAAACATTTTCTGTTCAAATTTCCATATTCTACCACTCTCCATTTCAATGCAATCACAGAAAGCACCGGGGGAAATCAACTACTGGGTGGGTGGCAGCACCAAGATTTACTAGCAGGACACTAGCTTTATTCCCAACACCTTATTCATTCACACCCACCAGCTCAGCAACTGGCAGAACTAGCTGCCAAACAGGAATGCAAAGCATGGCATTCTTTGAGTGTCTTCTATCTTGCTCTCCTGCATATGCACACTGCCCAGCTTCCTAATTATTCAGGTCCAACAGTGGTAGAGTATGATCAAAATATCACCTCGAGGATCCTAACTGAAGGCAGATGCCTCCATCAAGGAAATATTTAAGAATGTTATAGTTTACTCCCCTTGGAGATCTCCCGCAACAAGCTCAATGAGCTGAATTCTCTTGCATGCAAGAATCTACCATGCTAATCTGAAATTGGAAGTAGGAGTATGTGCAAAGAAACAAAATGAAGGGCACACCTGGCTAGGGCTTTCACAGGTATGGATTAAATGGGGGACCTGTGAAACTCTATTTATTGCTAATTTAGGCATCCACAAGGAAAAAAAACCCAGGAACTTCCACTCACACAACACAACAACTCTCCTTGTTGAACAGGATACAACTAATGAAGAATTGCAAGCCATTTTTAAAAGAAAGTAAACATCACAGAATGCATACAAGTCCATAAATGCACTGCACCTGCATTCAAGATTATTAATGTAATTTAATATATGCCAGGAAGTGAGCTGGAAGAAGGAATAATCTTCACTAAATGTCATCAAGCTTTTATCATTTGTATCTTTTAATGGCCAGGAGTGGGTCTGCATTTGAAAGCAATGGATTTGCAACCTGCAGCATGATGTGGGTCTGTATGTGGAGAAAAAAAATATTTTCCTTATTTCCAAAGAAACTGGCAACATTTACATTAGTGTAACACTGTTCTCTATATTCAGAGTTTAATATTTTCTACTCCACTTACTGAGGCATTCTGCGAAACTCAAGAACATACCTATTTTCACAGCAGTGTAAATTAGTTCTGAAACAAACACAGTTGAGAACATAACCATTTAAAAGGGAGCTGCCTTGCTGGATAAGTCCAAAGACCCAACTGATCCGATTCTATCTCAAATGAAAGTCTTCAGGAAGCTAGCAAGGAGGCCATGAAGGTGACAGCCTTTCCAATTTCTCTTCTGCATCTAGTAACCAGGTAGCTTCCTCTGAACACAGCGGCTCAAATTTAGCCTTCGCTAGCAAAAGCTAAGCTATCCTCAAGTATCTCATTCTTCTGAAATCCATCTAAGGTGGTAGTTATGAAAGAAATAATAACAAGAAAAATACAATCCACAAAATATACCTGGTTGCTCTTAACTTACTGCTGATTAATTTTATTAAAGAACCTCAATTTCTAGTGTTCAGAAAGAATTAGCATTTTCCCTTACTAGCCCTGCACAGCTCGCAATAAAAAAAATGTTTACAGAAGAATTACTGACTATGGCTCAGATAAGAACAGAACAATATAAATGACCGATTCCACAAATTATGCTCCTTAGTTTTTAACATTAAAATACCACTGCCCTATCCAGCCAGCCAGTCTCACTGGTTTCTTAAAGTCTGTTTCAATGTGATATCAAAGGAGGTAATGTGATAGTAAAAAAATTAAGAACTTCTGCTGGAATGAATCCAGCTCTTCTCACTCAGGAAGCTATCCAAATATTGAATATTAAATGTTAAGAATAAAATTAAGAAAATATTGAGGCTTTGACAGACAGAATATGCAAGATTAGATCCAAAACTATTCCAGAGACATTACACACAGCGCTACACACATTGGATTCAGTAGTAAGACTCCACTAAGGACAGCCTGCTCAGAGGCCACCTCCTACAGGACACAACTACATACCAATGAAACAAAAAAGAGGGCCATCTCCAATATACATAGAACCCATTCTACTTCCTTTCCAAATCCTAAGGTAGCATTTAACTTTAAACCTTAACACTTTCGCCCTCTTTTTGGCCTTCTGAGACTGACATCTACTCCATTCCAGTGGTGTCAGTCAAATTTTATGTGACCCTTTCAACGTAATAGCAACATCATTCTTTAAAAAGCCAATGGGTTAAATTAATAAGCCTTCATTCACCAGAGAGGTGCACTTCAGATATCAGCCTGGTTCAGGGGAGGGCTATATCTGAAGCCAGCTGCTTTTCTACATGACAGCTTCCACACTCATTCCACCGGACAAGCCATCTAGTATTCCATCTGCTGATTAAAGGGCAACAGGCTTGGTCTCCCCTAAATGGGCCTGACAACCATAACTCCCAGCCTATTTAACCACCATCTTAAATTAACCATACAATGTGCTATCCCGAAGCCCAGCACATGCAACCTAGGCCCAGAATGATCGTTTAAAAAATGCTTAGGGCTGTAACAACTGAGGCTCAAATACAAGTTTTTACTTGACAAAAACTTAAGCAGCACCCATCTCTCGCACTGCGGTGGTCAACCGGTGGCTGGATTGTCCCACTAACCCAACTGACGCTCCTCAGTGTAAAATAAAATTAAGATTTACACATGCTGAGGCCCAGCCAAAGAACCCAAGACCAAATAGCACTGCCTTGCTGGTGCAATGCTCACAACTCCCGCTGCCAAGTTTCACTGGATATGGATTTTGGCCTAGTTTTAATTGAGGTGACAACTGCTGTGTGGACAGTTCCACTCTGGATTGCAAGATAGCGGCTCCCAAGATTCAATGCCCCTCCTTAAGAAAAAAATATCCTTCTAGCTTCCTGCTACCTGCAACACTCCATAACCCATGTTAGCTTGTTCCCTGTTCGATCCCAAGATCCTCTACTTTCAACTTGCAATTTGAAATGATACAGGCTATACAAATACTAACCACAGCAGCAATATAAGGCAAACCCAATGAACATTTAATGATGGCAGTTGTAGGAATTTTGTTCTGTCTAAACATGCACAGGATTGTGCCTTCAGTGGCTAGAATGTCAGTTTATGACTCAGAAAAGCCAGGTTTAAATCTTGGCCTAACCTATGGTAATGGCCATCACCATCTCTCAGCCTATTTCAAAAGTTGTTGTGAGGATAAAAGGAGGAGGATCCTGCATTCCCTGCAAATGCAATGAATAAATAAATACTATCTATTTATTTAGGAGGCTTCTATGCCGCCCCATTCGCCGAAGCCTCGGGGCGGCTCACAATAATAAACAAATAAACTCAATATAAAAACAATACAATCTGAGTCGACCTGGCCAGTCTAGGACCCAGCGTGGAAACAAAGTCAAGATGATAATCGGATTCTAGTTAGTAATTTATCCCCAGGACCTGTATCTTACCGCAGTATTCAATGACCAGGAGAGGGGGAAGATTGAGGGGGCAACACCTGCTACAATAGCCCCCTTACCTGCCTTTTCGATTTCTTACAAAAATGACCAGCAACACCCTTCATTAGAAATTCCTGGAGTGATTTGTACACATGCGAGACTGCGAGGCTCCATTAAACTACAGGCTGCAAGCACGAAACCCAACGAAAAGCCAGGAACAAACGCCCAGCTCTTGGGAGCTCGTTTCTCAAAGCAGCAGGGCTAAAATGAAGCCCGAAGAGCCAGGCTCCCGCCCGCCGCTCCGCCCTGGCGCTGGGGAGCTGCAACGCGGGCGCGGAGCGGGCCCCTCCGGGGGCGAGCCCGTCTCCGGGGAGGCGCCTGCGGGGATCTGCCCCCGGGCGAACGCGCCGTGGGGCGGAGGGACGCAGCGCGGCTCGCCCAACGCGGGGGCAGGCCTCCCGCCCGCGCCTCCCCTCCGCCTCGCGGCCCGCGGCGCCCGGGCTGAACCCGAACCTGCCCCCGCGGGAGACGCGGCCCGGGGCGGGGCGGGGGCCGTGAACGGCCGTCCCCAGAGCGGGCTGTGCGGCTGCGCGGCGCGACAGTCGCGCGCTCGGGCTCGCGGGGGAGGGGCGCGGCCCCGCCCCCAGGCGCAGGTCGCGGCTCCCCTCACGGCCTCCCGGGCTCGGCCTCCCGACTAGGCCCCGCCGCGGCCGGCGGGCGCCCCGCCGCTCCCGAGAGCCGCCGCCCTCACCTGTTCGCCCATCTCCCGCCGGCCACTCATCCTCCGCGCCGGGCAGCGAGCGGGCCGCGTCCCTCACCCCGGTTTCCGGCTGCCCCGCGCCCTCCGACTCGCCTGCGCCAGCGACGGCCGAAAGCGACACTTCGCGCAGGCGCACTGCGCGGCTCCCTGCGCTGTGGGCAGCCGACGCCCCGGGCGGGCCAGAGCGGCTCACGCGCTCCCTCCCTCCTCCTCCTTTTTTTTTTCCTGCTTGACGTGACGCTTGAGAGGCGCGGCCACTCTACCCGCTCAGCTTTGTGGTTCGGGAGGACTGCGGCAAAGGGACCGAAGACGGGGCTTGGCTGCGAGTAAAGGGGACCTAAGCGCTGTGCGTTTCTACGCAGACTTCCGGCTCGGGATTGTTAGAAGGGAGACAAAAGACCGCGGGGACGTAGAGTGGGCAGTGATCGGGAATGAGCAGCCTTCGGTCCTCCAGATGTTGTCGGACCACAACTCCCATCACTCTTGGCTGTTATTCGCGATGTCGGCTAGTCCAAAGCATCTGGAGGGTACGAGATGTGGAAAAAGCTCCTAAAGGCAGCACTGGGCCGGATGGTCTGAGTCAATAGAAAGGAACCTCATATGTACAGTGCTCTATAAGCAGGTAGAAGTTCAGCAGGTGATGCAGCAATTGCCTGTTGAATTTCTGCCTATTTTAAATACACTGATGACTGTGTTGGTTCCCCTGTGTTGCAGTGCTTTTGAAAGAACTTACACGTATCCTGTCCCCCCACAAAAGCAGAAAACAAAATTCATAAGGATAAAAATTATTTGGTGATTGCGGGAGCTAAGGCAGGGCCTTGCTGATTTTAATAGGATCTGGGAGGATTGTACCAGAAATTCCGCTGCTTCAGATTATTATTATGCAGATGAAGCAGAGCAGAATTCCCATCTGTAAGGCAACTTTTTAAAAGGTAATTGAAGGGATCACCCCCAGTTTGAATTGCTTTGATATTTATTCACATTTCAATCCTAATGTCTTGTGTGAAGCCCTAAAAGGCAAGATCAGAATAGTAACTATTTAAATAAATGCTTTTCTGTGCCAGGTCAAGACCTTTTTATTTACCCAATATTTTAATTATGTTTTATTGATATCCTCAGTTGCGTTTTATCTTGTTACTGATTGATGTATTTATTTGGTATTTATTATATTGTAAGTCATCCAGAGACAAACTGTATTGCATGGGAAAAAGTATCCGAATAAATAAATAAACCTATATCCATGATGTGGGAAAACCAGGGCTGGATTGCAGGAGAACAATCCTGGCCGCACACACCTCGGAGCATCTCCCATTCAACACACCAGCCTGGCCAAAACAGCACTGCGCTTCTCCCTGGGTCGCTTTACGACTGTAGCAAAATGCAAACTCCGGCTTTTTTCCTGCCCTGCCCGACCTGTTTCTGTCTGATTCATCCTGATATTGGGTTGGGATGAACTCACAAGTGCGCTCAGTCCTTGCGTCTTTGAAGTTGTTCCTAAGAAAGGCTGAACCATAGGCTGACGTCTAGTCCCATCCTGTCCCCCAGTGGCTAGCACAGCACCGGAAGGCCCCAGTCCAATTTCAACTTCAAAAAAGATGGGGAAGGGGACATATTCCAGGGGAGGGTGAGGCTGAATGCAAGACAGGCAGGGCCAAAAGCAAAGAGGGTGTCGCCAAACATAGTTTAGTGTCGATGTCTTACTGCCAGTAACTTAGTCTTAAGAAAGACACTTCAGCCTTTAAAAAGGTTGAAACCCCGGAGAGCTCGCCTGGGACCCCAGCTAGGCTTTCGGACCAGCAGCCCTGCTCTAACAAAGCAGCCCAGCTACCTGCTCTTGAAGCACGCCAGAAAGGTTGCCTGGTTGGCCTGAGATGCGGGAGACCTGGGTTCCAGTCCCCACCCAGCCATGGAGCCCACTGGGTGCCTTTGGGCCGCTCACACGCGGCCTAACCTCCCTCACAGGGCTGCTTTCGGGGGGATATAATGCGGGGGGTGGCGGGGAGAGACCTGCTGTGGGTTCCTTGCAAGAAAAAGTGGACTGTAAATATGAATAAAAGCAACTGAGTTCGTGTGCATGTGCAAAATGCCGGGAATGCCAATGGGCCTAGAAAAGCTTGCAGTCTCTGCTGGCAACTTCCTGCCTGCCTGCCTGCCTGCCTGCCAGCTGCCCTGCCCCATTTGATCCTGGATCGGATTTCACAATGCTCAGGAAGAAAGTGAGAGTCAGGAAGAAAGCAGGAGAGACTTGTTGCTTGCCAGAGTTTCCATAGTAGCCACTCGCCTTTGTTTCTTGGTATGGGGGATGTTGGTGCCTAGAGAAGCAAGCTGGGAATGGGAATTCTCTCTCTCTCTCTCTCTCTCTCTCTCTCTCTCTCTCTCTCTCTCTCTCCCTCTCTCCCTCTCTCTCTCCCTCTCTCTCTCTCTCTCTCTCTCTCTCTCTCCCTCTCCCTCTCTCTCTCCCTCTCCCTCTCTCTCTCTCTCTCTCTCTCTCTCTCTGCCTGTGGGAGCCGCAGTGAAAGAAAGCACAGTTTCTTAGGAGGTAAGTCCAGACAAAATCCAGAGGGCTAGTCACTTTGTTGGAGACGACTTCCCCATTCGTATTTTCCCTGGCACTCTTCCTCGAAGGATTTAACCTCTGAAGCAATCCATCCTCTGATTGTGGAACCCCATGGAAATCTTTCCACAAGCCATCGAGGAACTGGTGAAAGGATGATACCGTCTTTGCAAAGAAAGTTGCAATCAGGTATAGAGAGATTCTCCCCACTGTTATAATTCTGACATTCCAATATCCCCTGGATCCTCCTCTCTGAATTTCCAGAATTCATGAAGAGTTGCCAGTTTGGGGATGTCAGCATGGATTACACGTCTGCTTTCTCAGAATCATAATTTCAAATCCAAATAATTATTAAAAATATCCCCCTTTGTAGGATTATTTTTTTTAGAAAGTGGATGGGGAAATAAGGAAAATCTCCATCCAGTGTTCTTACACATATTTAAAAACATTACTTTCAAATCCACTCCTATGCATTGTGCAAGGGCACAGTGCCAAACCAAAAGGTACCATTTATAATAACATTTTCACATTTTTAGTGTATTCCTGACAAAGCAAAGCTCATATTCAAGGGAAGACTATAGCAGATCAACTTCTGTAAGTTTGTCCTGAATGCACTTAAACTTTACTAATTCTGATAGCATGAGGGGAGAAAAAGTCAGATCTATTCTTCAGAGTCACAAAATTGTAGAAAGTTCTATAAAATGAGAAGAACCCATGTGTAGAAGATTTCCCCTGATAACCCTTCTACTTTTGCTCTTCTTGCTGACATCTTCAACATTCTCCCAAGGCTGCAGAGTTGGAGAAACGAGGCACAAACAGGACGCAAAAGTTCTCTTGCCGGCAAAGGTAAAAAAGCACATTTGCTGTGTCTTGGCCCTTCTGATTTAAGAACTGAGTCATTCGAATGGGATTTCCTCAGCCTGACACGCTCCAACAGGTTGTTGTTGGGCTGCAGCTTCTACCCAGCTTGCAGCAGTTCCAGGCGGGGCTCATGGGGTGGAGGACGGGATAGAGAGCCAGGTAAACAGCACGATCTGCCAGCCCCCAGTCCTTCAATTTAGCAGGTCCAATTCTCACAGCAGGCAGGAAAAATGCAGTTCGCCAGGAATAGTTTTTATTTACACACTATAAAGACAATAGCAACTGGCAGAGAAAACAGGAATGGACAAGAAAGAATGCAACATCAAAGAATATCCATTTACAAGAACTGTTTACAACTCTTAAGTATATATGTACACTTACAGCTGGCAAGTATACATTTAACATAAGCAGTCGGTGGCTTCAAAGAAGCAGCCATACAAAACCTGTGGCTCTGGGGGATGTCCATTCAAAGGCAGCGAAAACAGCAAGACCTGTTTATTGAACGAGAGACTGTGAGTGTTCAGGGCTGTGTGAGTCACTCTGTAAAGGCTCTTAGAGACCACTGTGACCCCACATGCCAGGAACATAAGGTAAAAGTGCACGAACACCCACAAGCTTCACAGCCTTTGCAACAACCACACCATCAATCCAGGCCCATGCACCTGCTTGCATCACACCTTGTTGCAGGATTGTTGAGGGACAAGCAACCCCAAGTTTGAACCCGGCAACAAACCACGGATTCAGACTCTGGGCTGTTTCTTCCTCAGCAACCCAGAATGCCAGGTTCAGATGAAACCGCCAAGGAACGGGGCATTCTTGGGTTTTTAAGAAACTGGGCATCATGGGCAAGCATTCAGTGGATTGTACACTCTTTTGTTATCCTACAGTCCTGACAAACCAGAGGTTAAGCAACTTGTATTGTTAGGTGCAAACGGGGCTAAAATGCACACATCATAAAGTCCCATAGAAGAGACCCTTCCACAACGTCTCATAATTCAGTAAACACATATATATTCTCTGATGTTTGCAATTGGAAATCTTCCATGGAAGATTTGGTACTCCTTCCCTCCCTCCCTCCCTTCATGCTTTCTTTTTCTTTCTTTCCTCCGGATCAGTTAGTTGTTAAAGCAACATCGGCGTCCCTGGATCTCAGCAGCTCCAGAAGCCCCATGAGAGGAAACAGCTGGGACCGCCTTTGCCCAAGGCATCTTCCAAGAGCCAGCTTCAGGGGACCACAGCCAGGATCCTGTTCCAGTGATGCATAGGTTTGGTTCATTCCCCAGGGAAGCTTCAGAGCAGAATCCAGTGCATTTCTCCCCTGAAGTAAAACCCGCTGAGCTGAAGGGGGCTTCTTCCCAGCTGGGTGCAGCATAGCAGGCCCTGGGAGTGAGGGTCTAGACCAGAGGGATCCCCACGCCCAGATTCGCTGTGCATGCTCCTGCTGGCCAGTGGAACGTGGTCACGGGGGAGGCGGAGGGGAGACCGGTGTGCCAACTCCATTCCCCTAGTCCGGGGGCGGCCTTGAGAGAAGGGGTGCTTTCACTCAGGGGTAGCGAAGCCTCCCCCAGTCCGCAGCATCGACAGCCCTGGCATAAGCATTGGAGGTTTCTATGCCCCGGAGAAGGAGGCTTTTAAATTAGAAACGTAGAACGTAGAAAAAGAGCGAGTCAAAAGGGGTCTCTCAGGCCATCTAGTCTGACCCCCGGCTCCAGCTGGCTC